CAGCCATGTCATTAGTGTTTTGGAGGACTCCCTCTAGGCTGCTTTTCAAGGTAGGACTGGTGTGTTTTTCACATTTGATGCGACCGTACCCATCATTTTCACACTGCATCAGCACCTAAGTGTTTCCTTCAAATGTCCGTTTTAACGATGATAAAATGCTCCCACCCAACAGAGGCACCACCGTTAACTCTCCACTGCCGACATTTGCCCAGGGGACTCCTCTCGCATGCTCCAGCCTGCTCGGCACCAAGCTGCAGACGACACCCTGGAGCCACACCACGCACCAGGCTTCCATACGTAAGTGGGCAAAATAATGTTTTAAGTTCTCTCCAATTATCCACAAATCCTTAATATCTATTTTCTCAGCTTCGTCTCTAAACACATCCCAAACATGGGAAAGCTGCACTGACTCTTACACTATCATATATGAAAGCACAAGTCACAAATCGTGAACACTTTAATTACTGTAATCAGCATCCGACTCGCTATTTTTACTTTCTGGGCTGAGGAGGGTTTTGTTATTTTGGCTAAGACGGTGGAGGAGGCTTTCTTGAGACTGCTGGGTAGGCTGGTCCATACTCACAAGACTCTAAGTGTGTGTGTGTGCGCGCGTGCGCATGTGCGTGCGTCTGTGTACCTATGTCTGTGTGTCTGTGTCTGTGTGTACGGCAGTGAGATGGCAGCAAGCCATTTGCTCAAGCCCAGGAGTGAGTAACGGAGGGCAAGACTATGCTTCAATGTCCGGGCCATCGTGGGTGACCTCTGGGGCAGAACATCCACTTGTCCATTCGACCCTGCTCCAACCAGCTCATACCCCGCATTTGGTCTGAGAGGCACCCCTTTTCTTCCTATGGTTCCAGCAGGGCTGGGCTGACCTCAGAGCAAAGTCTATCTTCCCAGAGGCTCCGTGACGTCACTTATCAGGTACCCGTGGCAAGTGGGCTCTACACCTGACCCCTGACAAACGTGATCGCCTTTGCTTCTCACGACAAGCCCCCCACGCAGATTATTACTCCCCTCTAACTGATGAGGGGCAGTGACCTGACCGGGTCCCCAGCTGGCTAGCTGCAAGCTGAGCTGGGACACAAGGCCATTTCTGTCCTTCACTGCATAGCTGAGGAGGAGACTCCCTCCAAGAGAGGACATGATCCAGGAGCATGCATACCAGCCTGCCAGCCCACCCAAGCGGAACGTACTTGTTTTGGGCATTCCCAAACTCTCCAAAGGGGTCTCCAGCCATGCCACCATCTCCAGTAAAGATGTAGAGGTACCCATCTTCCCCAAAGAGCAGCTGGCCCCCATTGTGGTTCGAGGCTGGTTCTTCAATCTCCAGGATTATCCTAAAAGAAGATAAGGCACCCCCCACCCCCCAAAAATAACCTCAGCCAAAAACAAAACAAGATCACAGCAATAAAATCTCCTCTCTCTTGGATGTCATTTCACAGTGGGAAGACTTTTCACATCCTTTATAGCAGGTGATTTTTACAAAGATCCAGTATGCTGGGCAGGGATAATTCCCCCCATTGTACTAATGAGGAATCAGAGGCTCAGGGGGGTTGAGTAACTTGCCCAAGGTCACACGACCCATAGGTAGCAGAGCTGGGACTAGAGCTCAGGTCTGCTCATTCCAGTCCAGCACTTTACCTACTGCTCCCCACTGCTGGCACCTGCCCTGTTATGATCATGTGACACGGCTGACCCAGCCACTGGCACTACTGGTCTCTTCGTCGCCAGAGCTACCTACACGCCAGCCACGTAAGCTGAGCACTTTCTACACACTCTCTCATTTGCTATCTACTATAACTTCTAAGGAAGTGGGCTGGACGGCGTGGGCTGCGCCCATCTCCACACCCACCCGTCAGCAGCCTCCATTACCCCATGGGGGAGCCCTTTCTCTATTCTGCCGGCTACCTGGCTTCGGGAAGGGTTCATCAACGGAGAGTGGAAGGCAAGAGGGACGGAGAAGCCCTGTTTCCCTGGCTTCTGGCTCTGCCTCCGGGAGCGGTGGTTGCAGAGGTGGTGACCATGAACACCTGGGCTTTGGCCCAGACATCTTGGTGTCGGGAGCAGCAAACTCAGCAGCACAGACCTCTTCCCACGAGCAGTAGCATCCTCTCGCAGTTACTGATCTCTAGGTAACCTCACCTTCCCCTTTTCCTTCTCTGGCCCTCCCAACACCTTTGTAGCCCACTCCTTGCATTTAATTCCCTTTTACCGAGGCTGGTTTAGATTTTCCGGGATTGGTCACTGATTTAATAATACCTTATTACTACAGGTAAGAAAAACCAATATACAGACAGGTCAAAAACTCGAACCCAGGACTTTGGGCCTTCAAAGCCAAGACCGGAAGCCTTTCCATGTGAGACCAACACACATGACTGGGCGAGCCACGCACAACCTCAAACTCCATCCGGGTCCTCCATGGAGAAGACAGCTTAGACTGTTGGTTGTCCACCTCCCATCAGTACCAGAGCCCTGGGAACAGACTGACGGCTGACTCATGCGAGGATGACCACTGTCCCTGCCCCGAGCCAGCCATGCCGACTTCACAGACTGACGGCTGACTCATGCGAGGATGACCACTCATTCCTGTCCCTGCCCCGAGCCAGCCATGCCGACTTTGCCCCCTACATGAGTCAAGTTCTAGGCTTGTACTTGTGAGGTCCCCAGAGGACCCTCGCTGAAGCCTCACTCTGAAATATGTTCATTTGTATATTCTGTGTTGCATTTTCAGTCTTAATCAGCAATCAGTTTTCGAACATCACTGTTGAAGACACATCCATTCTGTCCCCATCTCCCTCTGTGAGATCCACGTGATTAGCTTGGTCTCTCTTGGATAACTGACTGTGCAGCCTCATATAAAATCATGAGAATTATGTTTTCTCCTTTTACTCTGGCTGCCAGGAAGCTCAGTCAAAATTACTGCTCCATGACAAGATCTACATTAGCCCTCACATTAGCCAGCATATTTGATTCCTTCTCCATTTTATTCTTTCAATGTCAAGATTTTAGTTTCACCATTTGCCTTTTTTGCCCTCAGATCCAGTCTTGGCCCTCCTCCTACCTGTTCTCTACATCAGGGGGCCAGTTCCTACAAACTACATTTCCCATGCTCCTTTGCTGGTTGCCCTCCAGCTTGATTCAGCCAGTGAAGGCACTGGCTGGAGACTGGAGGGCGGGCGAAGGGAGAAGTTAGGGTCATTTCTTCCCTCTCCCCTCCCCCTGCCCCTCTCTTCCTCCTCCTTCCCCCTGCCCCTTCACATAGCATCTTGGCAATACCTACATCTCCTTCCTGGATCCAACTCCCCCTGCCCAGGCCCAGCACGGTTCCAGCTTCCACTGAGTGGCCCCAGGTCTGAGGCTCCAGTAACCCCACCTTCTCACTTTGTCCCCCAGCCCCAGTGCTGGAGGCAGCTTCCTTCCGTTATTAAACTCAGGGATGGCTCACTTCTTCCCCAGGCTGCTCTGTCATCATTTGCGACACCGTGGTAACTAATTCCCACGTCAAATTCTGCTTACTAAATGACCTGGCACAGGGTTTATTTTCCTGCCAGACCAGGGTTCCAGCTCTGATGCTTCCAGGCGGTGTGACCTAGCAGATCATGTCACCTCTCTAAGCTTCCGCTTCTCATCTGTAAAATGGGGAAAGTAACACTAACGTCATTGGGCTTTATGAGAACCAAATGAAACGGACCATCTAGAGTGCCTGATCCCCGTGTCTGGACTTGAGCCTGTGACATCTGTTTGGCAACTGTCCCTCCCAAGACCCCAGGACATGGGGTTTACCACCCCAACCCCCGGGGTGATATTCAAAACATTCGGCCACCTGTGCGGCACACAGCGTGAGCCGGCGCGGTCACACCGCAGCGTTCCGGCCCTGCCCCCGCCCGGCCTGGCTCCCCCGGGAAGGCCACCTCTCAGAGTCGTGGTCCACGGTGTTCACGTCGTCCTCCGAGACCCTGAACTCGCTGATGCGGATCCACTCGGCGAAGTCGACCCCCACCGAGTAGTAGACGTAGAGCTTGCCGTTGTGCCGGAAGCGGGGGTGGAAGGCGATGCCCAGGAAGCCCCGCTCGTCGCCCTCCCACGGCGACGTGAGCACCGCCCGGCTGATGTTCAGGAAGGGCGTCTCCAGGCGCGAGCGGTCGGGCAGGTAGGCCCACACCAGCCCCACCTGCTCGGCCACGAAGAAGCGGTGCGTGCCGTCGCGGGCGTGGACCATGGCCACGGGGTTGCGCAGCCCGTTGGCCACCTCCTCCAGGCACAGCTGCAGGCAGCCCTTGGCATCGGCCACCACGCGGCCCAGGTTCGAGTTGAGGTGCTCGTTGACCAGCAGGCGCGGGAAGCAGTAGTCCGCGTCGTTCAGGGAGAGGTAGCGGCAGAACCGGACCCGGTTGCCCTCCAGCGCCCGGAGCTCGCGGTCGGGCGAGAGATGGCGGAACAGGCCGCGGCACGTCTGCCACATGTCCAGGCAGTAGTCCTCGCAGCGGCCACCACGCGGCCCAGGTTCGAGTTGAGGTGCTCGTTGACCAGCAGGCGCGGGAAGCAGTAGTCCGCGTCGTTCAGGGAGAGGTAGCGGCAGAACCGGACCCGGTTGCCCTCCAGCGCCCGGAGCTCGCGGTCGGGCGAGAGATGGCGGAACAGGCCGCGGCACGTCTGCCACATGTCCAGGCAGTAGTCCTCGCAGAGCCCGGGCACGGACCGCAGCGGCGTGGACGGGTCGTCGTAGAG